ATTGAGCCTACCTAACGATGCGAAGTGGAAAAGCGAAAGCCACCGCGGGCTGTCAAAGAGTTTTAAGCAACCTTACGGCTATGATGAAATACTCTTCGTGTTTCTCAACTGATAGGTGTGAATCGATCATAAATTTCAGATCCGCTAACACTAGGCAGAGCTGCGTCCGTTCGCTCGGCCAATCTAGCTAGTCACTTATCAACCAAGCACTCTTCGGAGTCCAGATACTACCTTACGTTGAACTTCCCCTTATTTACTGTGAGCAATGCGTAATCAGCTGACAAGGTTTGCAAAAGTAACGGGAAACTCTTCAGTAGAAGACTTGGGTGAATGAAAAACCCTGAGTTTCAAAACGGGCCCGAAATGGCTACCGAAAAGTTTTCGGTAACCCTGTTCCGCCAATAAAGTTGAAGTAACCTCCTTTAGGAGAGTTTCCTGACGTTTGAGAACCCGTGGAAGGTACTTACCTAGGCAAAGCAGGCGAAAATGCGGTTAAACCCGCGCATGAGGCCTAAACAGCATAGCTAGACCCTGCTCTAATCAACTAGGATTGAAAGTTCATAACGTCCCATAACGTCAACAGGACCGAATCACAGTACCCCCAGCCTAATCACAAAAGCATCGAACAAAACCACAGGAACAAGAAAGTTACTACGCAAGTATTGACCATAAAAATCATGCATCTGATCGTGTTTTACAACTAGGTTGTGTCAATGTCACGGTTTAGCTTCCACACTTCAATCGTTACATTTGCATCGGTCCTAGGACGAACGTTATCTGGTATTTTCGCACGCCTGTTAGCAGTAGCCCTTTACATGAACTGTACTTCGGTCTCATTACTGGCCTTTGGAAACGTCTTACGAATTAGCGAACAAAGATACTCTGGTTTTGTGATCAAGTGGTAGGAGATTCGAGGTTGAAGTTCTCGATAAGGATGTCTGACCCACACGTTGGTTTGACGATCCCGAATAGTAAAATGCGGAATTAGATTCGAAAGTCTACGGCACTACTTAAACAGAAGTGAGCAGAACCACACAACAAGCCTCAACTGTCGACGTTCGTGGCGTCAATACGTGCAACTTCCGTTGTTGCTGACCGACACAGCGCAGTACCAAGGTCCCCATACCAGACATCGGTGAGCTGGATGTGGCTCAGCAGTGTGGGCTGCAATCGTCCCTTCTGATTGGCTGTAAGATACACACAAGTCACCACAGAACAAGTCAGAGCAGGCCCAACAAACGGCGCGAGCATGCCATGGGTCAGGCACGCATATCTACTCAAACACGCATGCAAATAATGGCGTACCAGCGTCGGTCGGGACGACTTTCGCGGCAAGATGAGTGGTGGGGGCGGGTGAACAGGAACAGTGGAGACCAAAAGTACATGGGTGGAGTATGCGAATGACTAAGGAAATCATCACGATATCAGTTTAAATTCCATGTCCACTTGTGCAAGATCGCAGAGCGAAGGATAAACTTATCATTTCACTGTGTGGAGTGCGAGTGCCATTTTAGTTTACACTTTTATTACCAACTGGCCTTTGTACAAAAGACCGTACATTTCCAAAAAAGCTTCTGGTAAACTGTCCTGTAGATTAGCCTGTTTAGCCTATCAGAAGCCATGCACTAATTCAAGATGGTGCAGTTCAGTAGTGCGGATCTTTCGCTGATGTTCTTACGTTAAGAGAAAGTGGTCGTTTCTCGAAAAGTACAGTTCATGGATGAACAACTTTGAAGGACAGTTCCATAGCACTCTGTGACCCATCGTCGGAGTTCAACTCCCTGAGTACAGGGATCTAATAAATTCAGAGCTTCCACTCCCAGCAATGTGAAATACCCTCTCATGCCAACAAGATTAGCCCACATGATACAATATCACCTGCAGTTTGCATGCAGCCTCCCTATAGGTGATCCAGAATCATGAGGCGGTGTTTGCTCAACATATTGTCTTGAGGACATCAAAAGTGGAAGATTTATCCGACATTCACTTTAGTCTCCAGTCAAAAGCAACTTCACTCGCAATTGTGTTTTCATCAGCGGAAGGAGTCTGATTACCATAACCCTCTTTTAGTCGCCTTCATTTCAGCACCTTATGGCTCGGGCCCCCTGGGGGTACAGGGATAA